AGCAAGCGCTTGTCCCGGGGTTTTACGTAACTCTTGGACGCTGGTGTGGCTGGCCGTCCTGTTGTGCTGAGTGAATTGCACTTAAAAGAGCTGAGAACGTGTGATCCCCACGCCATGAAAATGAGGGATATGAATAAAACAGAGTTTGAGAGTTTGAGATCTGCCAGTGTTGAATTCATAATGCTGCTCAGAAGGGGCTGATACCGCATGTGGGTGAATCCTGAGACAGCCACCTGAGACACAGAGATGCTTCTTCACATACAGATAGTGCACTTTCTTGAGTAGTACTATTAAATTTGTTATATCTCTGCGATGTCTTGTAATGAAGATGCAGGTGCTCTGCACTGTGGGTTGTTTTGAAGGAGTCGAGATTCCTGTGCAAATAGGAACCACCGTTACTGTCCTTTGGGAATCAGGTTTATCTGATCATCTAGGAGTCAGAAGGTCTGTGTTTTATTTTCAGTTCTGTTACCACTCAGAGTCCTTGTTTTCAGTACCTCCTCTATTTCTATTTCTGATGTTACCATCATTTGTTGTTTCAAGGCATAAACTTTTTGGGGAAGCACCTTTCTAACTGTTTATGTAGATTTCCCATGGGTTTTGGCAAATGTTATCTCAGGTAACAGATAATAATTTTGTAATAATGTTCGTGCAGCTGGGTCCAAAAAGCTGCAGTCTCTGAGGAAGTAGTCTATAATCTGTTCCATAAAATCGTGTGCTAAGCAGTTATTTAGGGAATTTTCGCTGGTACTTTTTAATTTGACCATTAGTATTAAGGAGAGAACTGGTATGAATATCCTCAAGTTCTTCTAAATGTGTCTAGCAACCTGGTTTGGGGGTCAGGTTTTAAAATACAGCTTGTGGATGCTGTGAAGAAAGAGCTTTAATTTGCCATGAGGTTTCATTTTTATGTTGTGAGGTATAGAGCTCTGTAAATAGCCAGGATTTTTGATTGAACATCCCAATTCTTTTCAGTTCCTACTCAACTGCAAACACTTTGCTAGTAGCAGATTTTGAGTTTGTGTTTTTGAGGAATATTTTGCAATATACTGAACATATTGCAGTGTACTTTTATCTTCTTTGTTGCAGCTATGAAAGAAGTCACAGTTCTATGCTGTGAGACTGATTCACTGTGTCATGCTTAGCATGAAGAAACATGTACTATTGTTAGTTTGTCCCTTTATTAAAAAAAAAATAGGGGAATTCTGTCTGCTAGATCTGTAAACTGGAAGTTTGAACTGGAACTGTACATGTCTGGCCTATATGCAGGCCTTCGATGACGATACCACTTGGGCTCTAGGTTGGAGTCCTGCTGGCCAGACTCCCTAGCTGTCATATTACCTTCCTGTTGTTGGCAAAGGCATTTATAATCAGTGGTGGTTCCTGGCAGATGTTACCCTCTTGAGTGGCTGGTTTGTGTCATAAGTCCAAGTTTGGCCATACTGAAAATGAGTGGGCTGCCGGGTGTGTGATGCTCCTAATCAATTCTCATAGTTTTGTCGCATGCTTTCATTTCCATTAAAGCCTTGTTGTCGTTCATTCCTTATTTGTTTTCCCTCTTTACATGTGAGAGAATGGACTTTTTCTTCTGGCAAGGTGTTAGTTTTCTAGGAGTTAAAATTTGGGTAGTGATGGTTTCATCAACACTAAAAAGCAAGTAAAAAGTAGTTTTAGGCTACATGGAATAATGAGTTGTTTCTCCTTTTTTTTTGCCTTCAGATAAGTTGATCTTTTTGAGACAAGTTTACTTTTAATTAAGCACACAATACAAAACTCATTTTGTCTTTTCTCACTGATAGCTCCTTCTTCTTCAGAAGTCTTAAGATTGTCAGCATGCAAGTTTACAATTTTGTAAGCTTGTAATTTTTTTTGCAAGGTGTTTTTTCCAGTTCCACAAGGACAGGCCTTGATTTACATGAGAAAACTAAATGGGTTGCCAACAGTGAGCAGATCTTCTGTTTTCAAGAGCAGAACCGCCTTTAGGGAATGGTGCTCCGATTCCAGAAAATACAGAATGCCATTACTATCTCAGAAAACTGAGAATATTTTCAATTTTCAAAGGAAAATAAAAAAGTGTTCTTCCTTGTTGGGTTCTCGGTTTTGTTTCTAAGCTTTTCTTCTGCATATGAAGTCAAACAAATACAGACTGTTTGTCATAAGAGCATATGATTTTAATATATTTAATTGGAAAGATGATCTGTTAGATCATGCATAGCATTCGAGTTCAAAACCGAACGACACCATTTCTAGTTTGCCAAAAATTACTCATGTCAACTTGGCTCAGTTTGCCTTTTTTTGTCTTAATTCACCTCTTAATGTGGTAAAAATACTATACTTCTTTTGGTAAGATTTGAAATCCTATTGTGATTACAAATGTCTCTTCTGGGGATTCTGATAGCAAAATGCTGTAACTGCTTTCTCAAGTTCTTACTTTAGCTGAATATGAAATTGTTCTTGCCAATTTACTTTTTTGAGACTGCTAAGTAGCTTTGTAGTGCATTGTTGCTTCAAAACACACCCATTCCAAGTAAAAATAATTTGCTTATAATAATTAAGAATGGGGCTTGCTAGCACAGAGCTTTTTTACTACAGTTTGAGAATTAGAGGATGGTCATTTTGGCAGTGATGATAATCTCTTAGAGACTGAAGAATTAATAGCTAGATAAATAAATAGTGGCAAAAATACTTTGGATTTCAGTATTATCTCACTTCCAATTTTGGAAGAGATTTTGGTTCTCCTACAAAGATAATTACTAATCATAACTTGCAGATTCATTTATTTTATGATGCATGCTAAAATGCTAGGAGAAGAGTTTCAGAATTTGGATTTTGGCCTCCTCTTCCTCTCAAATGTTGAAAATTCATTAAGTGTGTGGTTTTGTCATGAGACTTATTTTAATTTAAAAATAGAAACTTCTCAAATATCCGTGCTTTGGATTGTCTTCCAGTATTAGATGTAGCTAGGTTAGATGTAGCTACCTACATCTAAGTCATCTTTATCAATACAGTAATATTTGAAGTATATCAATTGATTATACTTCATTCAAATTTTAACCATCCCCTGATCATTAGTTAAAATCCTATTGCTTGTTCTTTGAGGGATAGCTGGGTGTTTTGATGGTCTTCTGGAAAAAACAGAGTCTCTTAATGTTGAGCACACAAAAGTTGAAAACCAATCCATCATGATAATCACTACAAAATTCTCCTTCTAATTCTGTGATATGCTTATTTTGAAAGAAGGAACTTTTTATGTCAGCAAGGTTATAAAAGTTCAAAGTGGGCTGGCCAGTGCGGCTTGGGCTGGGCTGCTGAATGACTGTGCCATCAGCCTGGGGCATTTGAATATTATGCAGCAGCAGCTTATCAGCGTTAACCTGCCATGGTTAGGGCTATAAGTATGAAAAAGGTCTGGATTGTGCAGCTCCAGGGTTAGACCTTCATGTTCTTGAACATCTTTCCCAGCCTCGGCGCAGGTTGAAAAGGCTCTGTGACTCCTGTAGTCTTCAGGACAAGCTGGTACTTCTGACTTAAAAATCTTACTCCTAGCTTTGGCTGACTCCAGGTTGTTTTTTAGGAACATAAACTAAAGTTATCATCTAAAGATCATCTAATTATCTTCAGATAATTACTGTAGATTATGGAATATGATTGTTAATTATTTTAGGAAAATAGTGTAAAATGACTAATACCATCCTAAAACTCAAGAGGCAGTATCAGAAAACCAGGAAGAGAAATTAAACCTTATTTTCACAGTAGCTGATGCCTCAACTGGTGGGAAATACGAGAGAGCAGCTGTCAATAGTCATTTCCTTCAGTATTTTGTGAGCAGTTTGCATGTGACACTTGACCTTCATTTAGTCACCTTCCATACTGTAATAGGTTTGAGTGTGGTCGTACGCCTACCTTCTGCCACATGACCAGGGACTCTGTGCACACAGTTAGACGTATTTCAGTCGCACAGTTTTGCAAATGCACATATCAGTCCTGCTGCAGATACATTTTTGATACTTGATGGGGGAAAAGCTGCAGGTGCAAGTCATTTTCAGCTTAGGCCGCTACCAAGTTGAAAAAATGACCTACCCACTCTTTGCAGCTCTTGAAGGCCCAAGCTTCTTCAGGAACAGCCAGCTGGGAATAGGTGGTGCTTTGGATGTATTGTTTTGGTAAGCCATAAATTAGGCTCCCCACCTAAAATATCCCAGGAAGAACAGATTTATCTTAAATCTCAAATTAATTCTGTTCTTCTCAAAACTGAATGCAGTAATACCAAAGTATTCTAAACAGCATGCTGCTGAATGTCAAGTCCCAGTATAAATCTTCGGATAGGAAGATCAGATTATCTTTGGATAATGTTTGTATAAACTGAATAGTTATCAGACAATGCAGAAAATGGTTTATCTCCATGAATTTCCTTGTCCAGCAGTCTGCATTCTCCGTCTGTTTGGATTCACTGAGCAAATTGAGGTGTTTTAGACTGATTTGTCAGCTCTGTACAAAGCCCATCTATTTGGCACTATGGCATATATAAAGTAGTCTTGTGAAATCCAGCTCCATTGAGCTGGGCTTCTTGCATATGAAAAGTACATTGTATTTGGATTTTGTTTGTTTTTCTCCCTCTTCTCACTGTTTATTTCTAGGGAGTCTGTGGCTGGTATGTTTTCATGATCATTTGCAGAGTTAATTAGTGCTGTTGTGGGTTACATCTCCCTTAGAACGGAGAATCTCTATGTCCCTGTGTGCAAGTGCAGACACATTTTGTCCAAGGACCAAGTTTAATATTCATAAATTAAAATGGAGCCAACAGTGAGTGAATACAAACCTCGGGATATAAGGTGTCATCTTGGGGAAAAAAAAATCTGAAATGTCATTTAATCTGATTAGTCTTCTGAGAAGCCTGAATTATTTTGAGTGGAGTTGCCAAAGTGAGGATCTTGCTTTGATACTGTTTGCTTACAATTGGTGGAGTAGCTACGCATGTGCTTTCTTCTTTCAGAGCTCGGATGACAAGAGATGGGTAAGGTATTTTGGTATGGAGAAAGGGCTGAGTGGTTATGTGTACCTTATGTGAAGCTACTCTTGCTTTTTGTGTCTTAAATTTTATGCAGCAGTCTGCCAGAATGAACTAGTTTTCTGAACAGGCAGATGTATTTAACCAAACACATAGTGTTACTTTAATTAGCTTAGTAATGAGGACATAGAATTTAATCAGTGTATTTAGAGTATCCAGTAAAAATATAAAATGAAATTCATATTATATGGCTGAAACTTGGAACATATTTCTAGACGTTGTACAAAGAAAATATAAGAAATAGAAAAATGCTAAGTTCTTTATATGTATTTTTCTTCTGAGATCAGGTAATCTTCCTCAGCAATAGAATTTTTGCCGTAAGAGGTGATGATGAGATCATGCATAGTAGAAACTACAGAATAATGTTGCATTTCATTCTAGTGAATGGATGCAATATATAACTGACAGTGTCTGTCTGGTTTTAAGAAGCTATAAACTCCCATGGAAACTAAAAAAACAATGCGTATCTTCTGCTTTCTTTGCTTGTATGATTTCCTGTGGCCATCATTGTTTATTATGTAGAGGCTTGATTTAAGTTTAAGTTCAGAATGTTGCTACCGTTTATTAAGTTTCTAGTCAGATTGACCTGTCTGACTCACATCCTTCATTTTAATGCCTTGCATAAAAAGGGGAAAAACAGGAATCGAAATGTCTGCATGTGGGAATCCACACGTTGGTTTATGTGTTGTTAGCAGTATGAGAGACAGAATGTGATTTTCTTTTGCATTGTCTTTGGTCAGAACAATTTGTCACACATCCTTTGCTTCATTGAAAAAATCTTGACAGCTCCCAGTCAGTCAGGTGACTGTACCAATTAAAGTACTCTGTTTCTCTGTGGAAGCACTTGTTAGAGATCCTCACATCTCTGTATCAGTTATTCAGCTAAGAACTGACACTCTGTTATGTTGAGAATAATACTTGGTAAGTACTGCACATAAGCTGAACTATATTTCTTTGTGTTTTTGAAGAGATGAGATTGGATTAATACCCTGCCCAGAAGCCAGGTATAACCGGAGCCCTATAGTCCTGGTGGAAAACAAGCTTGGTGTGGAGAGCTGGTGTGTCAAGTTTCTTTTGCCGTATGTCCACAATAAACTTCTTCTCTACAGACAAAGAAAACAATGGCTGAACAAGGATGGTGAGTTACTCGGTTGCAAAGTGTCATGTGATTCTACAATAAAATCTTTTACTTTTTGTACTTTTTCACACTACACTGACCATTCTTAAGGTCACATTAACCTTCTGTGCAGGACATCATAGTGACCTAAACATGCTGCAGTGCTGAAAATGCAAATTCACTCTCTTTTGCCCAAGTTGGAATAGATAAAGGGAGATTTTACCCTTGAGTGGTTTAGGAAAATAATGTTTCTGTCTAAAAAAGAATTTTGTCCTACTTTCCTGAATCAGGACAGTTCTAATGTTGTGTGATTCTGGGCAACAATTCTGATATTTTCCATATTTAGGAGTCCCAGAATTCATGTGCCTAAGCAATTTGGTAATTAAAGTCCTTTTTTTTTCCCCCTTTATCTTTTTTATCTTTTTTTTTAAGCTTTGGTTTTGCTTTATATATTTGCTTTGATTTTGTGAAAAAAAAGTATATGTTTTTTATTTTGAAAGTTACCTGATGTAAAATGTAGAAAAGTTCCACTTCATTTACCTTTATCATATCTGCAATTGAGAGATATTAAAAAGATGGAATAAATACTAGTATTTTGAGAAGACAAAATAGAAAACGTACAGCAAACAACCACAACTCACAATGTAGTATATTTCTCTTATACTGCTTCTTTAAATACTGCCCCTCAGGCTTTTATTTGTGTAAAATTGAAATAGTAACCATCAATACTTTTAATAGATGCCCAATTTAAATATGTAGGTAATCTTTGAACTTTCTTTTGGGCAATTTATGTGTTTCAGTAGGCACTTAAGCTGTTTATTAGGTGTTTAGGTACTTTGCTAGTTCAGGGATGGGTAAGTTGAAGAATTTTCGTTATATGTTTAGGTAGTGTATCAGTAGTTGCAAGCATTTAATCACATTAGAAACATTCATGTCATTGCAACAGGTTGATTTTCAAGGAGGAATGTTTTATTATGGGGGTGGAGAAAAAGTCCATAACCACACACTGTGAAATACAAAGTTGAGGTACTTCTTTGAAGTATTTTTCAAGTATCACCATAAGAGTCAAGTGTAAAATTTGCCCTGCACCCTTAAGATTTTTTCACTACAGTAATGTGATAACATAACCTGTTCTTCAATGTGCGAACATCATGGGAAACACAAATTACTTTGTTGGATATGCATGACAGCAAGTTATTCTGCAAGTATATTAAGTGGAAAGGTGTTCAACTTTTTGGTCCATTTTTTAATTATTGCCTAACACTTATTTTGCTGAAAAACATCTCAACTGAGATAGCTGATGTCACTTTTCACTAATATATTTTTCATTAATGTGTTCCATTATTGCTTTATACAGCATTTTTTTTACTTTGTGTTTTACAATCATGTGAACTGAGCAACAAGAGATTGAGAGATATTCTCCTCGAGGAATGACTGTCTTTACAGGAAATCGGGTGGAATTTAGTGTGGTTTATTTAGTATCTTAAATGTGAAATTAGTGAGAGGGAATCTGACCAAACATTTTTGGCAGTAAATGCATGTTCCGTTTTGAAGAATGATTTGTCTCATTCTTACTTAATCATAAAATTATCACATATATTAAAAAAGTGATTGCAGGAGCAGATCAACTGCTGAGAGGCCTCATGCACTCTGCTTTTTACAGTCAAACTGCTTGATGGATGCAGTGTAATGCAAAGGGAATAGGAAAGAATTGACAATGATATTACTCCCCCATTGTCAGTTATCACATACGTCAGTCTTGTTTTTTAAGACACTCCTAAAACTTGTATATGGCTACAGTTTGTGCCATATTTAAAAGGACATAAAGTAGTACAAATACTTCTGTTTGTTCTTTATATAGTGAATTAGTCATAATATCTCAATATGAGGCAAATCAGTTAAGAGTAAATTGAAAGTATTGTCTGCTATGTAGCAATAAGGCAGTACATCATCCCGATCCATGGATTTCATTTGCCTAGATGTAGTTTTATACTGTGTATAAGATGTAGTTTTATACTGTGTATATATATACTTTTCATAACTATATAGTGTAGAGAAGCCATCTGCAGCTCAGGGTTGTACTAAAATAGCATGATTTTTTATGTCACTGTCATTTCCAAGCTTTTGAATTTTGCTCAGATAATTCTGTGTTTATGATTATACTGCAGATCTGCCATTTGAATCACTTAAATTCTCAAAAGTCCTGCAATCCTGTCCCACTTCAAGAAAATGCTGTATTTTTGATTATAGCATTACAGGTAAAGGTTATCAACTTCCATTTCCAAACCTCTTGGATATGACTTCTGCTAGCACAATATAAATTTATTTTTTAAGACAAGAAGAAGGATGCTAAATTGGCCACATGCCTCTCTTAAATTAAACTAGCATTTTTTATGGAAAAGGATTTAGTAGTATTTTTACAGTGACCTCCAGAGCCAGTGGAGAAGAAACTTTCAGGAAGGGCAAGATCTGGGAATACAGTGAGAACATCTTGGTTATATGTGAATCACTATTAATTGTTGTGCTGTGTTTTCGTTCTGTTTAATCCCTTAGAACTGATAGATATCACCTGCACGCTGCTGCTACTGAACCCAGATTTCACCACTGCTTGGAATGTAAGGTATGTTGCACTCAGCCACCTTAAGTGTCAGTCAGCCATCAGCTTTAAGTGGTATTGGATGACACAGCAGCAGCTATGGATGACGCAGCTTTTCAGCTAGGAAATACTAAAAGAGTTTTTTAAAAATCTATTATTTATCTCTGTCAGGTAACTCAAAATAGGTTTTGTTTGTGTTTTTCCCCCCTTGAGTGTAGGCTAAAGACAGTATCATCGCAGGTAAAAGCACAGTTTGGTCTGTGTTTTTTGGATAAATTGCATAGAAGTGCCATTGTTCTGTCAGTTAAGGAAGGCAATTTATAATTGTATGTATATTTAGCTGTACATATTCTTTGCCTTAAATCATGTAGCATCCAACTGATGTCCTCTGTGCTCTCTCACTGTTCTCATTTAGCACTCTTTGAATGTTCTACCTAAGTCCTTTTGACATAACTGTTCTATTTACTACTCTTATCCAAATAGCTCATGAAAGCTGAATAACACTCAGTTAGTACTCTGTCATGTAGATACACTGTGAAAGAGGAGGGGAAAGATAAATGCTTTAGTCTACACATTTTGCACTACCTTACTCTCCTTTGTCTCCTGTGGGGTTTGGTTTAGCTGAACTATTTCTAATGCTGCAGTACCTTGCTGTTCAGGAGTCTTTATGAAAGAGGAGAGGAATTTGCTTTCCTATTCTTACCCTTGCCAAGAAGCAACAGTTCTTTACAGCCTTGTAGTCCCACTCACCGCATCTTCTTTAGCGTGCACAGGTAGAGAAATATTTGCTTTATCCTAAATAGGTAAACTTAGGGACAGTCTTAAAAGAATAGTTTTAAAGGGGTTGGAGAGTAGACAGGAGATTATATCTTGACAGAAGATTATATCTTAGTGTCTGGGAGGATTCTCAATGTTAAAAACAGACTTTTTGCAGTTAAAATGCTCCTTTGCAGTAGGAAAAATGAACATAATGACCTAGAAAGGTGTTATCTCTGGGAAGCCAATAGCCCTAGGTAATGCAAATTCATTTCTTCTTTCATGGCTGGTGTAGTTTCCGAGTATTCTCTAGTGACCTTATTTTTCAGTTGTCTCGGGTCTAAGAAAAGGAGTGTGAAGCTGACAAAAAGAACTTACTATCGTGAAAAAGTGTATATATATATATACATATATATATGATATACTGCCGTGTAGATATAAAGTGATAAAAATGAAAGCAGCATCATGTCTAAATACTAGAACTACTGTAACAATGATATCTTGTTGCTACTGAAAAATGAATTCAGATTTTCATTTTATTACTTTTTAAAATGTAAATGCATGGCCTATATGTCCATCCTTATTAGAGAGTGCTTTTTTCTACTTGACAGCTGAGAGAGCCTGCTAGGACATTCACTAGATGAATAGTGTAAAGTTGCACATGGAATAAATGTATTTAGGGTTATAAATGAGGGTTGTTTTCTATTCTCCGATCATGTTTCACTCTTTGAGTGTGTTTGAATTACCTGTGTAGTGTTCAGAGAGAGCCTCATGTTGTACCAACCATTCATCAGCAGTTGTGCAATATAACTTTTAGTCTACCCTGATTATGACTAGGGTAACTGAATCTAAACCTACACTAAATCTTAACTTGCACTGGTTTATGCTGTAGCTGGGAGGTGGCTTTTTTGAAAGTGAGGCATCGTTAAGTGGTATGACCTCAGCTGAAACACCTGATGCTCTCAAGTTCTGATGAAATACCTACTAAATGCTACTTATCACCAGATTACAGATCAAACTACTAAACATGTCTGGAATTTAGTGTCTTAGACTAGAATATAGACTATGTTCCACACAGATGTGCAAACAATGACCTTACATAGTTAGAATCAGATTGGAGCTTAATTGTGTGCAATTTGCACTCAGCCTGCAGTAGAATGATAGTTTTATTTTTGCTTAGCAGGTCTTTCTTGCATCAGATCTGTCTCATATTTTTCACACAGAAATTCCTCTTTTTTTATCTTGAGGGGTGTGTCATGTACTCTAGGAACCCTAAAAAAAAAAAGAACAGTGCAATAATTATTTACCAAAATTCTATAACAGCAACCTTTCCTGTGTAGCAACCGTGTCTGTAGAGCATGGTATTGTTTCATTTTAGGCTGAGATAAATGCTGCTTCCTATGTTGAATTCTCTGCTAAGATATTTACGTCTGAGAGCTTCACAGGTAGCAACAGAACCAGCAGCATTGAATTTGGAGAGACAGAAAAATGGTTGTTTGAAACAACAAGAGAACTGAACAAGAAGTAATTGTTAGCGTGCTTGCCAAAGCATGCTAAGAAAGATAAGATGTGTAAATATTTTTTGGTACTCAGAGGGAACTTAGCAGCCCCTTGGAAAAAAAGAAATAGAAAATACTGCTTAGTCAACAAAATAACCTGTTTATACCGAATGGAAAAGAAAAGGAAAAAGCATTTGCGACCATTTATCACTTTGTCAGTTACCTTCTGGTTTTGGAAGTTGAAAATCTTCCCAGTTAAAATGACCAAAATGCTTCTGTAAGTGATTGCAAAGGAATTGTCACAGAAATGCGTGCAGAGAACTAATATATGTATATATTTTTGATGATGTACTTGCTGAAATATACAATTAGTCAAAATTCTGAAGGCTGAATCATTATCTGTTATTCAAATGGCAAATGTAAACTGGAAATTATATACCCCAAGTTAGATACTCAGTTAAAAGAGTCTCAAAGTTTATTTGGGGTTATATCATACTTCAGTCATGCCTGTGCCTGATACTTCTTACTTGTGAATGGGAGGATTGCATGTTTAAAGACGTTAAGGTATAAAAAGCCTTTTTTGCTGTGGCAGTGAAACCAAATGTTTTCTATAAAATTCCTAAATTTGCTCTCAGTTTTGGAAAGTTGGAGAGTAAGTATGTGTGAACAATGCTTCAGTATAGGAAGAACAATATTGCTACTGAGAGTTTACATTTTGAGAGGTAGCTAGACTGGTAATTTCAATCTGTGTTAAATATGTACTTTTTTTTTTTTGAGTGGCCACTTTTTTTTTTTCCTCTGTTCTTTGGCCATTTTATTAATTTCTAAATTTCTAAATTATTAATTAACCACAATGATTATTAACTAACATTTTTTAGCAAATTGTCACCTTTTACATTGCAGTAATGGGCCAGTTCTCTTTCCTCCTGCAATACTTCCATTCCCTGAATCTTTCTCTAGGTTGTTTTGCAAAGGCAAAGGACTGAAACAGTGTAGTGCCTGAATTGTCTGGCCGGTCTCCCATTCTTGACTGATACCTCTTGTGCGTCTAATAAAAATATTGGTCTGCTGCTTCAGATAAAAACAAATGTTCCTGTAACTACGTTTTCTGAGCTCTTTGAGCATTTTTCTGCTGGCTTTGCTAGAGATCAGGTGCAAAACATATTCAGGGTTTTGTTCAGCCATTCATTCAGAAGCAACAGATGTGTCAAGGCTACTGCCCTCCTTGTGTTCTCTGGGATCTTGCAGTCAATAAAGGCATTGTATACATTGTAACCATTTTTTTTCTTGCATGCAAATAATGCATTGTTTAATCTTATCACTGCCACCATTAGCGCCTGGGTCAGTGGGTAGGTAAGTTCAATTAAAGCAATGCAAAACCAAATCTAACAGAGTACGTCAGTTTCCCATGAAAACGAATGAATCCTGCAGAGCCATCCAAGAACAAATAATGCCAGTAAATATTCTCTTCAGAAGACTATTTCAATTTACTTGTGCAATTCAGTCCATAACTTTCAAACCATGTTGTATGTTCTATGTCAACTGCTGGAGGTTCTGGGAATTCAGTGTTCCGTGTCTACATATGTAAATTTGCAATTTACTGAACCAACTCTCATCTTCATTTCACAGTAGCTAGTTACTAGATATGGACACTAATGTCTGTGGAGTGCACAAAGACAGGAAAGTGTTTAAAATGTGTTTGAGAAGGGCAGTAAGAGTTTTGAATTACCCTAGCAAGTCAAAGAGGATGTAGCACGGGGAGCCTCATGAGGGGGGAAATAAGAAGGTGGGCTTTTTACTTTGATAACTTAGACGAGCACTTGATGGTGAATTTTAAGTTTTGTTAGGGCAAGTTCTTTATTTTCTTTTTCTTAAAGCCAGAAGTTACGTTTTACATTTAAGTACATTTGCTTGTCTGGTAAGATCTAAAACTTTCTACACAATTTCACATATTTTCTCCTTCTTTTAAATTTGGAGATCCTGAACCATGCATGAAAAATATACTTAAAGATTGCGTGTGTGGAGATTAAGATGCAGGCTTTTTTATTTCAATTTGTTTTTGTTGGGCCTGGTTAAATAGGGTGTGCCCAATATAGTGGAGTGGAATGGGTTAATATCTTGAGGGCTTTTTAAAGTCTTGCAATTTGATAGTGATGATGTGTTTTGCTGCAAAACAAATCCCATTGTAACTGTTTTTGTTTTGGGGTTATATATTTTATTCAAATAAATTTATTTTATCTTTTGTAGGAAAGAATTAATACTGTCTGGCACTTTAAATCCACTTAAGGATTTGCATCTTGGAAAACTGGCATTAACCAAGTTTCCAAAGAGCCCAGAAACATGGATTCATAGGTTTGTTTTTGTTGGCTTGTATTGTCTCCCCAAATTTAAACTCTTTTCACAGTTTTTCTTCTGTTAGGAAAGCGATAGATGAAGGACATGTAGAAATATAACAGATTATTTGATCCAGGCATAAAATTGAGTGCTTTGGCTTCTGAGGACACTTTTCTGTATTTTGTATTAAACTAAAATCCTATGCACCATTTTTTGTTGTATATTTTTAAAATGGCTTTGGAGGGGGGATTACATTTCCTTGTGGCTTATCATTTCTTGCAGCATCTAAAACTTTCACGTTAAGAGTTCTGATTCAAATAATAATAAATATTTATTCAAGCAGTGTTGTTTTTTTTCCTAATTTAATTTCATATTGCTTATTTACAGACATTCCAGAAAGATGAAAAACTGCTAATTTTCATAACTGAAGTTAGACTCTATTCTGGTCTATTACGTGATGAATTTACTTTTTTCTTGTTTAACTTATGCAGTGTTATTAAGTCATCATTGTTACTGAGCACTGAAATGACAAAGCACTTTTTTTTGAGGAGATAGCCTGGTGCATTTGAGTAATAATGGAGTTTTCAGTTGTGATGGAGTGTGTATAAAACACCTGTAGCACAATGAGTGAAGTATAGATATGTTGTTCAACTTTGTAATTAACATTCCTGGTTTATGTGTATTTTTATATATATTTCAACATGCTCATTTGCACTTTTGTATGTTTACATTTTGTGTGCTCCGTGTCAGAAAGGCAGAAAGTTTATACCCCCCATGAAAGGATTCAAATATTTTTATTGAACCATTTTTTCGACTCATCTTTAAACTTTGTTTTAATGTTACAGAAGTTTCTAAAAGAGATACTTCTCAAATCTCATCCAACGAACTATAGCAGTGTTCTTTCTAAATATGCTCTTTCCTTTGAGTAAATAGCTGTGACAACTTACAGTGAGTGAAAAAACAGAAATACAGCTGAGCATTAGATTATTGTGGAATGTGATAGCAAAGCTTTCAGTATGGGAATAGTTCAGCTCAAGCCTCTAGTTAGAACTTAGCTCAAATAAAGGAAGTCTCAGTAAAGCTTACTTGATCAATATAAATGAAAAAATATACTTTTTTTTTTTTAATTCTGCTCACATCATTAATGCTGTATACCATTTAACCAGACGATGGGTGCTGCAACAACTAATTCAGGAAAACTCCTTGCCCACTCTTGTGACTAAAGGAAATTTGGAAGCAGCACCTGTGGAAAGAGTTCACCAACTAGTGCAGGAAGAAATGGATGTCTGCTCTGAAGCTGCTGGGAGATATCCAAGCAACTACAATGCCTGGTCACATCGCATCTGGGTTTTGCAGCACTTGGGAAAGCTGACTGTCAAGGTAAAACATAGTAATGAGTAAAGTTTTAAGTTCTGGCTTTAAACAACAACAACAAAAAAAAGGTTTGTCAACAGATCTGTGACGTGATGGGAGAGTATTGTTTTCAGTATTGTTAGAACAGGCAAATGGGCGAATTAATGCAGCAGTTGGGATTGGGTGCTCTTAGATTTTTCTTGCCAAAGTAGCTTCTGTATAGCCGTTGGTATTTAGTCCTAATGAAATAATATAATAGACTGTGAGGGCTGAAACAAAAAAATGACAGAGAACATGAAATTTCTAGTGCGGAAATTGAAGTTCCTAATAGAATAAAAGTTATGTGACTGTTGCTATATGTAAGTGATTTCTTGTTATGCTGTCTTTATTCTGCCTTTTTATGGTGTCAGAATGTTCAATGTTAGGAACAAAACTGTTCAAATTTTAAAGCAAGTGTAATTGTGCCTGTATCTGCTTTCTTCAGGTCCAAGAACATCTTCTGGCAGACCTTTTACTGAGTGCTGTTTCAGCACCAGTGAGGATGTCTTGTGCACTCTGAAAAAATTCAAGTTACATCAGACACCAATTTTAAGTAGAAGTAATTGTCGTGACATGATTTAAAATTACAGAAGCAGTTTTATGACATTGTAGTTTCTAAGCTGGTAGGAGAATTCACTGTTTATATTGGGCTGAGACCATCACTCTCACTCTTAGCAGAAGTCATTGTTTTTTGTCATCATACAAATACATAGTGGAAGGGGGTAATTAATTGGCATTTGTTGAGTCTGTAGAGCCATTATTTTTACGTGTTACGGGCCAGCTAGGGACTGATGTTTTTTGTGGATTGTTAAATGACAAGCATTAGAAATTGTGTTCTGAGTTCAGCAGTAAATGGGAAGTATGATACAGACTAGGACAGCTAGCCCAGAATCAGGTCTGATTGACAAAGTAAGTTTGTATAAAAAGGAAAATTATGGAAAATTCAGAAGAATTACAGGATGAGAGTAGATTGGAGGTTAGAAGTCTGTTAAAAGTTAATGTTTTTTTTATTCATCTGAGTAGATCACATGTTAATCTTTGCTAGCTCTATTAAAAAGAAAGAAAGGAGGAAGCAGAAAAAAGCACTATTAATTAACTTTTTTTTCTTTTACTTGACAGTAGTTTGAAGGTGATGATAACATCTTGAGTGCTTTTTGTATCTGCTTTTCCTTAACGATTTAAATAGAAAGTTTTCAAATTGATAGAAATAGCTCTGTTAGGCTCATAATTTGCCTGGTGCTTTTATTCATTGTCAGTTATGGATGCTTTATATAATGATTGGGCCATAACATGGCTGTAAAGGAAGTGTGTTAAATTCATTAGATCACTACCAAGCCCTGCTGCCTTGGCAGCAGTTCCCCTACTGGTCTGCCTTTTATCCTTGTTACTAAGGAAGTGATTATTCTGTCTGTTTTCATCCAACTGGCTTTCATGCCTTTTAGCAATATTTTACTAGTGTTACTACTCGTGGAATAATGTGTTGAACCTATTGGGCAGCTCCTCCATGTCAATTCCACATTGTTCTACTGCAGTGGTGATGCATCTCCTCAAATGACCTTGCATGGGTACTAGGAATGCAGGAAACCTAGGAAACATCATGGAACATAGTGTGATCATTTTGTTCCTATTTCTAAAACACAGTATCTTTCTAGGGAACTTCAAAAATATTAGTGAGTATTTGCATGATTTTGATATGGTGGAGGAACAAAAAATGAATTCAGAGGGAAAACATAACAGATTTTCAAAAAAAAAAATTTCCTCTTAATATTTTATTTGTCTAGGCAGTCAGTTGTGTGTATAAATATCTAAAAAAAAACTGTGAGTGTTATTTAGGTGAAAAACTGGACTTGTGATAAAAAGGCAGTCGATAAAACAATGATTCTTCAGTCATTTAATTCTTAAAACTCTGCCTCAAATTAGAGCCCCTTGTATTATTTAAGTCCGCGTTAACATACAAACTTTGTTTATAGATTGATTTTTCTTTTTTTCATTAAGCATTTTTATTTTGTGTGTGTAAAATACATGCCCCTTTCTCCCACTGAAAGCATAATGGGCATGTGTAATTATGGAAACTTCTCCAACCATTAATTAATAACCAATTAATAAACCAAGTAGGTTTATTAATTATAAAGCTCTCAGATTGATTTAGGTTGTTTTGAGTTTGTTTTTGAGTTTATTTCTGAAGACTGCTTGAGGTTTTTAGTTTTTGTTGTTGTTTTGGTTTTGGAATCCTCCTGGTTCCTGAACTAAAACAGTTTTGAATTAAGCTAAGAGTTTGAAACTGGGTGGAACTTTTCTTCCAGGAAAAATATGTGAAATAAAGGAGGGGAAAGTTAGGCACTTTGTAAGGTTTTCTTAAAAAAAAAAAAACTGATATTTTGTCACTTTTACGCAAGATAATAAAACATATTCAATCATGTTTAAATATAAATAACTTGATTTTCCTGTAGTATTTGAACCATATTATCTGGTTTGCATAGATTTGGAATAATAGTAGTATTCAATTTGAATTTATCAAGAATAGATGATTCCAAATCATTTGAATTCTATTCTATTATTGGAGTACGTGCATCATAAAGGATAAAAGGATAAAACACTTCAGTTAAGTGTTTATGTCGTCTTACATGATGCTGCCCTTAGCTAATGAGGAGTAATTTGGATGTGGAGAACCTACTCTTAATGTGGGTGCAGAGTTAATTGGAATAATGTAAGATACTTTTTGTCTTACAGCATCCAGGTGTGCTCTGAGTAGCTCATAAAGTGCTTTTCTGCTTTTCCCCTAGTTTGAAATAGACAATAAAATGTAAGTAGTAAGTTTTTTTCTGTAATCATTCCACTATGGATTTTTTTTTTTGAATGACTAGACCGCCAAAGCTTCCTGTTTTTTGAGTGAGAGGAGACTGGTGTATTTATCTTGTTATTTGTATAAAGATTTTTCCCCAACTGGGCTCCCTTTTCATCTCTCAGTTGTCCCAGACTGAAAAGGAAGTTCTGGGCTTCTGTTTGTGGTGGTTACCACATATAAAAAAAAAAGAGGAGAGGAAGGAAGAGTATAAGAGGAAACTAAAATCCAGGTTCAAGGCAGAGAGTAACACTGAATGCACTTTGTGGCAAGATACCAATTCCGTTATACTCTGTTTACCACCTAAGATGAAAGAGGGTTCTTGGGAGAAGTGTCAGTAATGGAGAGGAAGATGTTTTCATGTCATTTCCGCTTTGGTTCATGGAAAAATAACAAAGGACTAGCTCTGTGTAGTGTTGAAATGGAGATCTCTGTTGACTTGAGAGAAAAAAAAAGGGGGGGTGGGATTTAATTAAAGACAGCTGTTCGTGTTAGCCCTTAGTTTTTTTTTTTTTTTTTTTAACCTCAGAGCATCTTTCATTGTTACCAAACCTCCTAGAGGAGAGGCTTTGTTTTATTAATAAATCTCAAAGGATTTGAAGATTTTTTTTGTCTTGCCTTTTCTAAAAGAGGTATCAAAGTTCAGATAAGGGATGCTGCTGGGAATTTATCCTTTATCCTGTTTTATACATTGCTCAGTAGCTTAAAACATGTCAGTTGGATAATTGCGAGATCTGAGTAGCACATTATGTGCTTATCATCTCTTCCCAGTGAGTAAAGGCTTGTTTCTGGGTTTTTTGGGGGTTTTTTTTGCCTTTTTTTTTTTTTTTTTTTAACTTACATGCCACTAGAGCGTTGTGTTGTTTTAGTAGAATCTTAAAATAGAAGTGTTCAGTAACTTAAGATAGTAACTCTAGATATGTTGAGAAGAAAGAAACTAGTCACATCGTTTAAAGTGCAGGACAGAAAATTGAGTTTTTGCTTGCTTTAGAGACCATGCATGATGGCATGATGGATTATTTGATAATGCACATCAGTTTGCTTATCTGTAAAAAGAAGATTGTACTGCTCTGTCTTGTCTAAACAAAGAAAGCCTGCCTGCTGTCCTTCTGAGGCATATTTATGCTGTTTCTATTTGCTCCAATACCTTTTAGAATAGGTATGATTTCATTTCCCGGAGACTGTCTGTTGTGCTCAGGAGAAGGAGAAAAAAAAAAGTACTTCTAACTATAATTCTACCTGTAAAACATTATCTGTATCTGTCAAACTTACGAAGTGAAGGATGCAGCCTAGAAAAAGCTATGAAAAGGGAGACTGTGCCAGTAGGGTTATGTCCAGAGTTCATAAAAGTAAATGAAAAGGGTACAGTTTTAAATTCATCAGAGAGTTTAAAACAGAGGAGGAACAATATGAAAAAAAAAAAAAATGAGTTCTTTAAATAGTACATCCATTAGCTATAGTAAGAGAAAATAAAGCAAAATATACCCTGTCCAGTACCAGACTTGTGTGTCTTCTTAGAAATAAGTGCTACTTAGGCTACTGAAGGTTTAAAAAAAGAACAAAAATTATTTGGTGCCAAATATATTTTAATGCATCTGCAGCAACAGTGTATGAATTTATCACAGTTCATTCAAAAGTCTTTCTGAGTTTACCCATTAGCTATTTTGAATCAAGCAACTTAATTATGGACGTACAGTCCTGTATTCTACATGTCCTAGGACTTAAAACTCAGTGACTACTTTAAATTCTTTTTCACAGAATCACAGAATGGTTGAGGTTGGAAGGGACCTCTAGAAATCACCTAGTCCAACCCCCCTGCTCCAGCAGGGACACCCAGAGCACGTGGCACAGGGTGGCATCCAGGTGGTTTGAAGTTCTCCAGAGCAGGAGACTCCACAACCTCTCTGGGCAGCCTGTTCCAGGGCTCTGTCACCTTCACAGGAAAGAAGTTCTTCCTCACATGGAGATGGAACTTCCTGTGGTTCAACTTGTACACATTAGCGCTTGACCTTAGTGGTGTCATAGGCCACCACAGAAAAGAGTTTGGCCCCATCCTCCCTACATTTCTCCCCTCAGGTACTTACGTATTGTTCAGAGCCCCGCTCAGTCTCCTCATCTCCAGGCTAAACAGGCCCAGCTTGCTTAGTCTTTCTTCATATGATAGATGCTCCAGTCCCTTAATCATCTTTGTTGCTCTATGCTGGAATCTTTTTGGAAAATAAAAGTATACACTCCTGTAAATCTCTCTTTTTATTTAATAGCTCCTGCTCTCTGACATGCGTCACCTGGCAAGATTCCATGTAACTTCTCTCAAAATAATCTTTATTCATAGCCACTTTGAGACTTTAAACCAGTGCCTATTTATTCTTTTTCTTTCTTTCTTTCTTTTTTTCTTTTCTTTCTCTCTCTCTCTCTCTCTCTCTCTTCTCTTCCCTCTCTCCTTGATCCTCTGACAAGGTTTCTGAGACTTCTGCATTTTCAGATTTGAAAAAAGTGTAAATGTTCAGGGATGCCTAGATATCTGTGGACAAGGATGATGGATCATTTAATTTTTCTGTGTCTGTTTTAGAACTGTTACCACAGTGACTAATTTCTGAGAAACTGTACTGGAGTGTACCTCAATATGGAAAAGTTTTAGTAAATTCCTACTGTTTGCTGATTGATTTCTATTAATGCTTTTTGTTTCAGGTTCTTCTTGATGAACTTTCTTCCACTAAATGTTGGGTGTCCACACATGTTTCAGACCATAGCGGGTTTCATTATCGCCAATTCTTACTGAAGTCCTTGATAGGCAGAACTGTGCCTGACAATAATATACAAGTACAAAAACAAATGGTAAATGAGCAAAACTCTGTCCTTCAAAAGGAGGAGGAAAGTGAGGTGGCAGAGGCTGCCTATGCAGAAGAACAGAGTGTTGATCTTCCCCATCATCTAAAAGAAGAGTTAGAACTCTGCACTGATTTGATTGATGCTTACCCAGGTCATGAAACTTTGTGGTGTCATAGGTAAGAGAACTTTGTCAAAAATGTTGTTCTGGTGATTGGACTGTTCTTTACTTAATGCTTTCAGAATATATATATGTGTATATATATAGTTCAGAACTTAGAACGTACTGCTTGGTAGCAGACTGAGTAGCATTTGATTTTTCTCTTGAACCTTCTCTAGAGCTATTGATGGGAAAATTTGATTGGCCTTAAGCATTTGGTGGGCATAAGCTCTGTGTTCTCTCCAGAGGGCAGTTGGTGCCAGGGACATCTTTACAGTTAATCAGCCTCCACAAGCTTGATGATGTTTAAAAGGACAAAAAATAGACAAAAAGTGGACCAAATACAAAATACCTCTGTATTGCTAGCTGGGTACCTGTGCCTGACTGGGTATGAGTAGCAGCAATGTTGACAAAGTGACCCTGAACCTTTTTTTTCCTCCAAAATCAATGAATACATACTTTTATATTTGATCCTCTCTCCTAGTGCAGTGCTTTGTTACCTAGGAGGCCTGTCTGACTCTTGAAATAGTGACAAAACCTAACTAGGCGTGGTGGATGTTTTGTGATATGGTAGCCCAAGCAAATATAAAAATGTTTATCACATGAATTGATTTAGTGCCATTTCCAAGTACAAAATCTGTTTCGCTTCTTAAATTCAGCACTAGTCATTTATATGATCACATTTCTACTGTGTAATAAATACTATGAGAGGGGAACAGCTATTATATACATGTGACAGTTGCTTTCCTGAGTTAAATCTGTTTCTTTGACAAATGTTGTCTAGGCTGAACAGAGAGGCTGCACGGAAGACTTCTGGTGTTTAACCATCTGTATTTTTAGATACAACTTTCAGTCAGGGATTAAACTTCATGAGATTAAAGGCACCCTTGGACAGCAGGACTCTGCACATGATCCTTGTACAGATTCAATGTTCTGGAAATAGAGAAAAGATTTTTCTGTTCAGCTTTGTAACCAATATAACAAAAACAGTAACCATGTCCCCCTCCTTTGCCTGTGCAGCTTGCCTTCACTTTGGCGTAAAATAACTCCATGCATGTTGCTTCTGAGCTTGTTCTGTAGCATGTGAGCTGTGATAGTGGATTCTGTGTGGTGAAGTGAGTTTGGAAGAGAAAGCAGTAAACTTTACAGTTCTTTAAAAGGTGCTTGAAATACCTTTTGTTGTGTGGTGGTATAATTTTTACTTCTGAGTGGATATGAAGAAGTGCAAGGGCTCATTCCCTTTTCAAACTTGAAGTTAGCATATACTATCCACTTTAAATAATTTGGGGTTTACTGGATTTGTGGAGAAATCTGATGGGAGGGATTGGCATTTTGATATAAGTATGTTCAGCAACTGCAATAGGTTATTTTCAGTATATGACTTTCTTTCTTTCTTCTATTCCTCTGTAGAAGGCGTGTGTTCTACCTTCAATACCACCTAAGCAACAGAATTCCACTTCTACATGTAGTGTTGTCATCTCTGGACAGCAGTGATGAAACTTTGAATAATTCACAAGCCAGTCTTGCGACCTGTCACATGACACAGGCTATGGATGTTGATGGTTTGAATGAATCCAGCAGCAAGCAAGGCTATACCCAGGAAACAAAACGTCTGAAACGTGCCCCTGTGCAGGACTCTCTTGGCCCAGAAATGGAATACAGGTTCATTGACAAAATTTTATCAACTTGCAGAGACGTGGAACAAGTCAGATTTGCTACTGCATACCGAAAATGGTTAGTTACTTTCTTAGGTCAGTGAAGGAAAAGTTTAAAGCCTGCAGGGTTCTGCTTTTAGTGCAATATTCTCTTTTCAGACACAAATGCATGTCTTAATTGCAAGTGGTAGCTAACTTTGTGGTTCTCACTCTTTTTCTGGTCAGTGCTAAGTTCATTTTCAGAGTAGATGTCTGTCACTTTATTAAACAACTGACATACCGTTTTATTAAGCATATGCAGTTTGCTGTTTTTAATCCATTTAAGAATCATTCTCTTTCTACTTGTGACAGCTTCCTGTCATACTATTTTCTTATTTTTTAATTTCAGTGTAAACAATTTGGCTTAAAAAAAAAAAAAAAAGGAAGAGTCTGAAACACTGTTGAAAATGATGGAGTATCTGGAAAAGTAAGGAGAGGATCTGTCAGTATCAGCTTAACATGTTTCCAATTTGTTCCTCCTTATTACCGTAGATGTTGCTAGTATCTTACAAAAGCTTATTGCATTTAGGCTTTATTCATTGAGGGCTGTTTTTTCCACATAAGTTTGATATGAACGTCTACAACGTTAAAGTTCTTTAAAGCAGATGCAGAAAAATGAACAAATTTCTTCGTCACGCATGCACACATTCACAGCCAGAACTTTATTGGAAATGTATTTCTTTGAACAGACATCTTTACATTCATTTCATACTTTCTATTTATTTATTTATATTACCTCAACAATCCAGAGTTAATGACACTTGATACACATTTTTGAATGTATTGTGTACACTACAATCGCAGCCTGCTAAATCACATACTTTTAAGTTGTGCATGAACCAAGGCTGTGCAAGTCCAGTAGATGATGAGGCAAAAAGTAATTCTGTTCATTGGTCACTAAAAATATACAGTTTTTACCAAAAAAAGAAAAAAAAAAAAAAAAAAAAAGGGCAGGAGGGAGCTTTTGCTTCCCTTTTGTTTTCTGGTAGAACTTTAGTCTTTTTTTGGGTGGGGAAGGGTGGAGGGAGTAAGATTGGTCCTTCTTTCAGACAGCTCTTCTTCTCCAACCATACACCTCTGTTTACATAACAGTAAATGTTAAGGGAATCTGTCACAAATTTCTGTTCCAGTGGAATTAAACATAAACGGATTATTTTGTAATTTCCATAGAACTTACCCATTTAAGGGACTTTTACACTAACAAAATTGCCATGATCCAAAGACTCAGTGTGGAAATATTGTACAGCTATAGAAGTTTGTGCAATGCTATCATTACTTCTGTTCTAAACAGAGACTACTTGTTAAGGGGATTAGATATTCAAGCTAAAGCCTTTGAGAAAATGCTGTGTGATTCTCCTGCCCAAAGTGCCTCTTGACTATAAGTTTCAAGCTGTTTTTTCTGTTGGGCAGAGAGCAACAATGAGGGAGAAACAGAGGAAGCCCACTCAAAAAGTTGCTTGAGAAGAAGAGTGCTTGAAATATGTGGAATTCCAGCAATTCTAAATTGATGGTTAGGGGTTACTCTTTCCATTTCAAAATGAAAGTGGACTACCTCTGGTCTTATTATGTTCATAAATTCATTTCAGCCACAGAACAGAGACATTTGTACACTTTAATGTTTACAGTTTCTAGATAAGACACAAGCATCTTCATGGCAAAGCTTTGCCTGTTTGAGCATCTGTACTTGCCTCTTTATAGTTGGGGATATACATGGCTGTTCAGATGCTCTGGGATACTTCCTTCAATTATTGTTTTAATGACTGAATAATATAATAATGTGGGAAGGACCTGTTGGAATGAAAGGATTACCAGGTTATATGATGTCTCTATGAACACGGAAAAATGAGCGAGAACTTTTATCCACGCAAGACTGCAGGCTGTTTATCTGCATACAAAAGACCTGTTAAAACAAATGTAATAGCCTGTGTCAACTTGGATAAAGATATCCAGTTAATGACTTTGTACCTGGAAAGTGTGAAGTCAGCTGACGTTCTCTGTTATGAATCATGTTCTTGGTCCTTGGTTACTTAGTAACTTAGTTGATTTGTCCGTTTACTTTTGCAAACTTACATGTTCATTGGAGATGTACTAGAGGAAGGAGCAGACTGGGAAGTAGGGACATGACAAGAAATGCTCTCTTCCTGTTGCACTAGAATGACTGAGATTTTTACAGAAGCTTGCAAGAGTTATGACAGAATCTGACTTGAAATCCATTATATGTTTTCTCTAGACTATAATCTAGAGTCGTAGTTGGCTTTCTTAGAGCTCTATCGTGGAAATACTGTGCTGTCAAATTTGCAGTCCTTCCATCATAAACACTTAATATCAAGCCGCTGTCCTCAAATACATTTTTGCAGCCCCTGTTGATTGTCAGCAGGGGTTATGCATGCTTGTGTGAATACGTTATTTGATTCTACATAGCTGAGTAGAGGTGGATTATGTTTTCATACCTGGAAAAACATTCTGATAATCCTGAGTAGAGATAGTGCTAACAACTTTTTACCTTAAATTACATTTACAGAACACTGATTGCTGTAGTATGACTTGAAAGTATAGGATTTTTAAAACTTAACACCTGCTAGTCATATTCTCCTTTTTCTAATATGCTCAGAACAGTTAAAGAAGTAATTGAGACCACAGTTTGCCACACAGAAAACATGGTTGCAGCAGGTCATGTTTCCTTTTGAAAGGAAACTGTTTTGTAAGCTGTTGGCTTTAATTTCACATGCTAACAGTATAAATTATGCTAAGGAATAAAATACATAGTTGGGTTACTCAAAGCAGTCAAGCCTCTTGTTAAAGGAATCTTACATGACCTGATTGAAGGTATAATTTTAACAAATTATAAGGTCAGAATTGTATGATATCCTGGAACCATGAGCTTTATAACATAATCTGTTTAACTACCCAGTATTTGTTCAGAGCCTCGTTTGGATACTTTTTTTTTTTTTTTCTTAAGCTAATGGCAGATTTTTGGTAGTTAACATACATAGCGGTTACTAAGACAGCTTCATAGTGCTAAGGAAAGCATGTTAGTCATTTTGTGTTTTGAACATGCGAGCATTTTATCTTAGTCCTCTTCTAGGGAAAACATTCAGCAGATGTAGCAGAGTAAGAAGGCTGTCACTCTTTGAGGTTTCTTCAGATATAAATCAAAATTTGTACATACTTGCTGATTTTAGATTTTGCTGTAATATCATTTAAATAGATTCACACTTTTTGTTCATTGGATTAGTTTTTGAGCAATTCTTTGTGCTAGGAATAAATTTGTTTCTAAAAATCCATTTTTTTCCACTTGAAACTACTGAAATGAGAACAGAAAAAAATCATATTTCTAGTGTGTTAAATTCTGTGTTATATGCATAAACTATTAATGCTTTGTCTTTTGGTTCCTCATCTGTATGTTAAAACCACTGGAGCAGCATGTGCAGCATTGAAAATACTTACAATAACAAACTAATATAAAGTGAATATTGGAACCCATCCCTGTATTTGCTGTGATTAATATTTGTTGATCTATTCATGCTTGCATATTACAGTGTTTTGTTAACTTCTTACAATTTTTTATACAGTCAACAGTCTTGTGTTGTTTAATATGTAGAAAAGTGAATTTTCAGTTTCTACTGATTTACTACCTTTTATAGAATTTGTTTTAAGATAAATAAGCAAAGTGTTAATATAGGAAGAAAGATTGATTCTCTTTTGAAATCAGCGTTTCAGGCATTTAAAGCTTTGTGTTAGTGCTGCCTGGTCTGAATGTGTAGCTAGACTTTATAGACAGGAGTAACTTTTTTACTCTAAGTAGGTAATTAATGAAGTTTTAGTAAAGTACTGTATAATAATGATGAAGAGAAACAAGGAGTCTCGGAAAGGCTTGTCTGCATAGCCAGCTGAGCAAACAGACCTCTTAGAATAATTCATAATATAGTGAACACAATGTGACTGCCACAGAGTAATTTAAGCAATGAGTCTTCAGAGACTGGATGACTGAATTTTTGGATAGGGCTTTTTTTCTTAGTTCTGTCTTACCTTCCACACGAGAAAAGAATGGTTCTCAACTTTTTGGATTTAGTAGGAAGTGAATCAACCTTCGCATTTGTGGTGAGAAAATAATACTGCGCTGTATCTTCTACAGCCACTTTGGTAAAAGCAGTGAAGTGAAAGGTAGATGTGACTTCTAAAAATGTGTGGTTCTCCTTTCTCTGTTGATAATGAGAGTTCTTTACACTTAGAATTTCCTGGGGAGAGAGGGGGGCAATCATGTGTTCTTAAATGACCGTAACATTCAAGTTAGTTTCAAAGGAAAGCTAGTGTCCTTGTCCAAGATAACTTCTTTTTTTTTCCCCAGTGTGTTAAGGCATGTTTCCTTCCAGTCTTCTTGTCTGTTCTTCCAACCAGCAAAGAAGAATGTAGCAAAGTCTTAGAGAGGTGGCCTCATTTAATACTTAGATAACTGACTACCTCCTGAAAAGTGCTCTGATTAATGTCCTTAAGTGGAGTTCATCAGGCTTAATTTTTTTGGTACCTCATATTAGGTCTAAATCCTCTTTCTGAGGTAAAAAGGAAGAGCTTTATCTGTGAAGCCATTTAGTTTATCCAGGAAAGTTCAAAGAAGAAAAAATAAAGGAAAATCTTTGGGTTGTGATTAAAGTCAGGAAAATTATAATTTGCATTAACTTTCATTAAACTTTTCCTCTGATAGTAATATATTGCTGAAAGATGGAGGAAATATGTGCTTCCAAGAAATTCTTTGTAGTCGGTTCTCCTTTTGGAATCTTACAAACTGATCCTTTTTTGTGGCTTAGTGTTACTAGTCTGTAACGTTTCTCTCAGGGCATAAACTATTATAGTGAAATAGAGTATGTTTTTAGGGTTTATAGTCAATTAAAAAAAAAGCTATACAATATCTGGCTTTTAAGTTTTTTTTTTTTTGTCTAGAATAGTGTTTTATATCTAGCCACTAGTTAATACTATACCAAATTACCTGCTCTGGAATTTCCATCTTATCTGCCACTAGTACTTGTCCTCCCTGCACATATTTTATTCTTGATATTTAATTACTCTTGCAGTCTGGCAGAAAGTTCCTGACTCTTGTTGGGGGTCCTGTGAAATTTTCCTAGTGCCATTCAGTAGAACATTTTGTATGAAGCATCCTTACATGGTAAAACAAAGATTTTATTAGAAGACATAATCTTGTATATAATGTACCAATTCAATAACTTTGTTCACCAGTAATACAGTCACATTCCCTATATGACTGTGATGAATGAACAAATCGATGTTTAAGATACAGGTATGTTGTTACCAGTTATGGAAAAATCACATAAATGACATAACGTACCAGAACTTGTTTTTACAAGGAAAAATATATGTATACCTATTGTGATAGATTTTATTTTCCATTTGTTCCATTTCTGTTTGTAGTGGCTATATTTAAACTTGATAATAATCTTGTAAAAGCATGTTAGGGCATGGTTTTGTTTAATTTCATGTAATAGAAAA